AAAAGAATTTAAAAAGATGATCATATTTAGTTCCTTTCCTCATCAATGCTATTAATCTCATAATTAGTGTTATTTATATTATTTTCTTAATTACTTTTTTTTCTTTCATTTAATTATTTATTTGAAGAAATTAGTTATTATAACTTTATAAGAATTACACATGTATTTTTACATAATTGATTTGTTATTTTTAAAAATTTTGGATCATTCTTCATCTTAAAGTTTCTATCTATATGTAATAATAAAGCTAAAATAGAAAATGTGGGGTGACACCTTCTTAGCAATAGATACTTATTTATTCTGATCAATGTTTCTGACATTTTTTGTTATTTTTTCCTTAAAATAATTGTTGCCTCGATTTTTAGTTTTAGTTTTATTTTTGTAGCATTTTCTAATTTTAAAAGACTGAAAAATTTATATTGAAAATTTACAAAATATAAAAAATGATTTATTTAACTCCTATCATCATCAATATTATTATTAATTTGTTTTACTTCTTTTCTTAATCTTCATTTCATCATTAATGTAATTTATATCATTTTCTTAGATATATACATATATATATATATATATTTGTGACATTTCTTAGAAGTTAGGATTACTATTTCTATAATTTTTAAAATTTTTGAATTCTTTTGTCATACTAAATACAACATGTTTTATTATAATTACATTTAATATATTAATCAATATGTTGTACGAATGAAAAGAAAATTATCATTTCACAAAAACAAAGGTTAAAATATAATTTATTATGATTAAGGAAAGATAAAATTATTATTCCAATATCCATAAGCATATATAATACATTAAAAATTAATTGAAAAGCTGTAAATGGAAAAGGAATCACCATTTAAGGAATCATTATTTTTAATTTTTTGGATCATTTCTTCATGTAAAAGTTTCTATCCATACGTAACAATAAAGTTAAAATAGAAAATGTAGTGACACCATTCTTACTAATAGATAGTTACTTATTTTTATATTTTTTTTTTGACAATTTTGGTTATATTTTCTTTAAAATAATTATTGCCTCAATTTTTTTTTTAAGCTTTATTTTTAATTTTAAAAGATTGGAAATTTTATGTTAAAAATTTTAATAATAGAAAAAATGATTTATTTAACTTTTATCATCATCAATACTACTAATTTTTTTGACGTTTTTTCTTAATCTTCATCTTATCATTAATGTTATTTATATAATTTTGTTTAATCACTTATTTTTTCTTTTTTAACTCTTTTATATATATAAAGTTGGATATGTAAATGATGATGTGACATTTCTTAGAAGTTAAGATTACTATTTATCTAATTTCTCCATTTTTTGAGTTCTTTTGTCATACTAAATACAATATGTTTTATTATAATTACATTCAATATAGTAAACAACATGTTCTAGGAATTAAAACAAAATTATCATTTCAGAAAAATAAATATTAAATTATAATTTTATTATGATTAAGGAAAAATAAAGATATTATTTCAATATCCCATAACCACATTCAATACATTAGAAATTAATTGGATATAACTGTAAATGGAAAATGAATCACGATTTAAGGAAAATAAATGTTTGCAATACCATAATAATTAAGGAGAGAGTAAGATATTATTTTAATATCCTAATTCGGAACTTTTAATCTACTACTCAATTAAAAATAGAATGCATTTAATAACATCAAAAAGTTATTAGTTTAATATTTTTTCTCATTGTACTAATTCAATTCAATGAAACTTAATTTTAAAGATAAAATAACAGCTTCATTTTAATTGTTGTCAATATATTTGAAAAAATTATTGTGAAAAGGCTTTTCTTGCACCTTATTTTAATTTTCATATACTATTATTATTTTTTCTGTCATTTTTCAATGAATTTTATTTCAATTTAAAATTTAATGTTTATTCTTAAAACTCTGACGGTACAAATGAAGGTGGAGTAAAATATAATAAATGATGATTCTTTTACTAAATAAGAAGATATAACGAAATTGAAAGGGTGACGTTTTTTTTTTTGTAAATGGATAGGAAATTCTATTAAGGTATCTTTATGTCATTATTCAATATATTTTAAATATAAATTTCATTTGTTGATGCATTTGTTTAGTACTCCCTCTGTCCCTAATTACTTGTTTACTTTTCCTTTTATAGTTGTCTCTAATTACTTGTCCATTTTGACAAATCAAGAAAGAATATTTTTTTACCTATTATACCCTCAATTAAATGAGCAATTACTTTGAAAATTGCAGAACTTTTTATCTACTTCATAATTAATAGGGGTAAAATGATAAACTGACTATGTCATTAATTGATTTCTTAATAAATGCGTAAATTTAAAAGTGGAGAAGTAATTAGGGACAGAGAGAGTATTACAGTCTTATTTGACATTATGAGATATTTCTTAGACATTTAAGGAGAATGGTAGACCGAAATATATATTATATATTAAAGGATGAACTTCATGCAATGGAAGAATTTGTTATTAGCAAATATATTTTAACTTATTTGATAAAAAATATATTCTTCCTCATTTAATAGATGTAAAATTTGTGAAGCTTTATTTTTTTTCACAATCTTCATATTATTAAGACAAATAATAATATTACAATTAAACAACAAAGTAAATATAAAATTAAAAAAAATTATTTAATTTAAATGATCGCGCGAAGTGCGGCCAAGTTCTCTAATTTAAAACGAAAAAGTAAAATTTAAATGGGTCTACTATAGAATTCCTAGAAATCCAACTTGAAAAATTATGCTAAAAATGGAAAATAAAAAGTGAAATAAATTTAATTGAGAGTTATCCTTCGTCTGTCCCATTTTATGTGAGACTTTTTATTTTTTGAGAATCAAATAGTTTAAGTTTAACCATAAATTTGCGTATGATATCTTCATTTTTTTTTTTAAATTTGGACAAATTAGATAAATAGTAATGTTAGCTTCTAAGAAATGTGACATCATCATTTACATATCCAACTTTTATATATATAAAAAAAGAGTTAAAAAAGAAAAAATAAGTGATTTAAGAAAATTATATAAATAACATTAATGATGAGATGAAGATTAAGAAAAAACGTCAAATAAATTAGTTGTATCGATGATGATAAAAGTTAAATAAATCATTTTTTCTATTATTTAAATTTTTAACATAAAATTTCCAATGTTTTAAAATTAAAAATAAATGTTAAAAATTAAAAAAAAAATGGAGGCAATAATTATTTTATTAAAGAAAAATATGTGTAGAAAAAGTAGAAGTAGATGAAGCCAAATGAGTAATAATAATAATTCTAATAAGGACTAATGAGTAATAATAATAATTCTAATAAGGACTAATGAGTAATAATAATAATTCTAATAAGGACTAATGAGCAATAATAATAATTGCAATGTTAGTCCTTGGTGTTAGTCCTTCTATTAATGTACAATTATTTTTGCACATTGTACAACTAATTAATGCATTGAAAAGTTAATGTACAAAATTGTATGCATGTTGTACAAGAGTATTAATGCAATGTTGGTCCTTTCCAACTCTCACTTCTAAATAAGAAGTAATATATATATATATTATCTGAGTTAGTTTTACGGAGTAAATTTTTTCTATTTTTGGTCATATTTAAAAGTTATATTTAATATACTATCAAGAACATATTTTAGGTTAGAATAATAATAATAATAATACTAAGTCATTACTCTTTTAAGAAAAAAATTGTCATTAACTATAATATCTATCGGAGTAGGGCGGTTCAAAATCGAACCATAATCGATAATTTGAATAAAAGTTATTGATTTATCGATAATAAGTTATTGGTTTACCGATTTCAATAAGGTTTTGTTTATTTTTGTTATCAAGTTATCAGTTCTTAACGGTTTGAACTTTTTTCTTAACGTGTTAATTGATAACATGATAGTAAATTAAAGAATTATATTTACTTCATTTGGCATATGACTTAGATTTTAGTTTCATACTTTTAATTCTGATAGCCTCAAACTCTTTGATTATTCTACAATACATCGGTGCCTGTTTTGAGCAAGATGCAACTTGTCAACTCATGTGCACAATTTTGATTTGTCACTTTGTTTTAAAGTAATTTTTAACGTTTTTTTTTGTGTGTGTCAAATCTTAACGGTTAAACCGATAACAATAACTAATAAGTCAAACTGATAAACTTCAAAATTGAACCGACTGATACGTAACCCCGTACGAGGGGAGTCAGGGTACTAAGAAAAATAATTATCTACCTCCATGACGTAAGAATAAGACTTTTAATACTCTATTTCAAGTCCCATTTTATAAAACGACACTTGATATTATTGTTGTTGTGAACTTATAGATAAAGTAGACATCCCATCTAAATTGACTTAATAAATATATAAAAAAACTTAAATTAATAGAAAAACTCGATTAAAGATAAGATAACTTTTAGCGAGAATTTATCAAAAATAAAAATTATAAATAAAACTAAAAAGTGTTGATATTATTAACAAGAACTACATGAATTTATCAAAATAAAAATTATAAATCAAACTAAAATGCAAAGATGAAGTTGATATTATTAACAAAAACTACATGAATTTATCAAAAGAAAAGTTATAAATCAAACTAAAATGTAAAGATGAAGTTGATATTATTAACAAGAACTACTTGAAGTTTATCAAAATAAAGGTTATAATTCAAACTAAGTTGTAAATATGAAATTGACATTATTAATAAGAACTGAACTGTAGTTTTTTTTTTTTTTTTTTATCGAGGCAAAAAGGTTTTAATAAGAACAAAAAAATGCGACCGCCGTCTGTGGGGATCGAACCCACGACCACGTGGTTAAAAGCCACGCGCTCTACCACTGAGCTAAGACGGCTTACGTTTATAATTTTATAAAAAACTTTTAACTGATAACTGCTCCAGGTAGTAGTCTCTGGTTACTACTCGATTCTTCCACAGCCTTAACCCAAAAATTTCCAGAAGTTATATTTTTCCTTCTCCGCCACCATTGGCAAAAAAGCTTAACTTTGCTTTTTCTCGAAAAAGTATTAAAGAGCAGAAGAGAAGGTTGATTGGAAAATAACAAAATACCCTCTTTTTTCTGTCTCACTCTTCAGTACTAGTATTTCAGTACAAGTAGTAGTTATAAAGAATGGCGGCGCCAAAGGAACAAATAATGGATGTGAGGTCGGTGGTGGAAGCAGTTGCAGCAGGCGGAGATGATGTTGAGATTGATACCCCACTTTATGTGGTTGAAAGCCTCTGTATGCGATGTGGTGAAAATGTATGTGCTTCTTGAATCTTTTTGTTTTTTCTGTTTTCCATCCTTACTTGAGGAACAAAGTTTATCTTTTTTTTATTTGTTAGAACTTGTACTATAGAAAAGATGGAAACTTTGCTTTAGCTGAAGAATGTACAAGTTTTGTTGGTTAATTTACTTTTACTGAGTGTGTATGCTATGAAGTTACAATTTTGATGAGATGTTGTGTTTCTTAAGTCTTTTTTCTTTGGGTGTTAGTCGGGGTAAGGACAAGTTATAGCTTTTTTCTTCTTGAAAATTGCTGTAGAAGAGTTCTAAAAGTGTAGTAGCATGAAAGTGTGCTGAATTGAAGAACTCACATGCTTTGGTTAGTCTCTTTATTTCTTATACATAGTATTTATCTGAGTATTTTCTATAAAGCTAGCTTTTTTGGTTATAAATTGTGGTGCATTAAACTCCCTTTCCCCCTTTTCAATTTTTGTTAGAGCTACATTGGTGGGAAATCTATTGGGTTCTTGGGCTTTATTGCTTTTGGGTTTTGTATGGAAACTATCAGCAGGATACGACTCTTTGTGTAATGGTCTTATTGTTTCTTTTGACAGGGTACAACAAGGTTACTCTTAACACTAATTCCACATTTTAGAAAGGTACGCCGCTTCCTTGCTCTTTGCTTATAGTTCTAAGCAAAGAGTTGTGTACAATTTTGTTTTTTCAACCCAAACCAGAGTTTTGATTAATCAATATTTCTATTTTGACAAGCATAATACAAATAATAAGATAATTCTGGTCAGAAAGACAACTCTTATTGTCTAGTATTGTTGCATTTCCCAGAATTTAGATCAAATCCTAATCAGGCAATATTTTGACCAGAATTATGTTTGACATTTGAAAATTAAAAGAACTGCATGATGTGGGATAGGAGTCCTAGCTTCTTGAAAATTTTGAAAAAGATAAGCGTGTGAGAAACCTCGTTTTCATTTGTGTATGACCAATGTTGTCACACTCTCTGTTTTGCATCAATGATCGTCATTCTAAAGGGAATCTTAATCTTCTTACAGATATTATTGTCAGCATTTGACTGTCCACATTGTGGTGAAAGGTAAGGCATTTCATCTCCAAAGACACTGGAAAATGGAGTAACTTATCAATTACCTACCTTACCTTATTTTCCTGCCCTTTTCATTTCCCTTCTAAAGAAATAATGAAGTGGAGTTCGCTGGAGAGATTCAGCCTCGAGGATGTTGCTATAGCTTGTGTGTTCCATCGGGTGATAAAAAGGTATTTTCTCTAATACATCTGTTGGCATTGCTATATGCTGTTAGATGAAGCACTAGGTTGCTATATACAATTTACTACAATAGTTTTACTACATCTTTCAATGAACCCAGACTATCTTTTCTCCAAGAAGTTCTCGGGTTGTTATTAAAGTGGAATAATGTCTTGTTGTTTCTATGCGGTGCGTAATTGCATACTTATCATGATTCTTTTTTACTCATTTCGTGAGGAAAAAGATATCTTGCCAATGTTAGTGAGGTAGTAGGCTGCTTTATGCATATTTTTGTGAAATGAAGAATTTTGTGCATCCAGGAGTTGTTTTAAGGTAATGATAATTTTGAATTAACTCTTTGCGAATGTTGACTTACTGGTATTCTGAAACTGCAGTTGCTCAACAGAACAGTTGTGAAGGCTGAGAGTGCTACCATCAAGGTACTCTATTAAACACTCTTGTTATTTTGTTAGGAGTCTCACCTAAACCTATTAAATCTCCATGTTTGATGTCGTTGTATTCATGAGATACAAGAATAGAAGATAATGTGTATTTAGATGGATGCTTGTACTTCTTAGTGAAGGATCAACAAATTTTGACTAAGGTCCTAAGCGAGCTACTTTTTCTAGAGTTACACTTATACATATATTTATTTCTTGATTGCTACATCTTTGCTTTTATGGTATTCAATATTCATTATCTTACTAATTTATGGTTGTGCTGTGCAGATACCCGAACTAGATTTTGAGATCCCCCCTGAGGCTCAGCGTGGATCATTGTCAACGGTATCTGCCTTTTTACTAGCTTGCCTTTCAAAAAATTATCCTTGTGATTAAATGGTTTGTTTATGCCTTCATCTCAATGTTCCACTAATGAAATTTTAGGCACGAGTAGTTCAGAAACCTTCAACCTTGTCATCAAAATTTTCTTTTACATTCTGATGTGGTGTGTGTTAGGATTTGGAATTTATGGTTTTATGGGAGATTCAAAAATAAAAAGGATGTAGGAGCAGTAGTTTTTTGTTCTCCCAGCTGCAAATAAAGAAAATTTTAGAAAGGGAAAAAGAATACTCAATTGCTTGCCTCTTGTTCTAATAAATATCTCTGTGCTACATTACAGATAGAAGGCATACTGGTTCGAGCTGCCGACGGTTTGGAGGCTCTTCAAGATGAACGGAAGGTGGAGTGTTTCTCTTGGTTTAGAGGCTCTCTTGCATTGGTCTTGTCTTTTTCTCTATATTTTCTCAGTCTGATATTTCCTTCTACGGCGCTTGCAGAAAGTGGATCCGAAGATGGCTGAAGCAATAGATCAGTTCTTGATAAAACTGAGAGCATGTGCTTCAGGAGATTCATCCTTTACTTTTATTCTTGATGATCCTGCTGGTAACAGCTTCATTGACAACCCGTAAGAGACTCATTTTTTTTACAATAGAAATGTTATGACTTCTTCTGTTGCCCTATCTGTATATTGGAGTGCTTCATGCCTGAAACAGAAAAAAATATTATTGTGCAATCATATGATTTATCATGGTAACATCAGCAGCATGCTGGACACTGTTACCTGAAATTTTGAACTTTTCGGGGATGGATGAGTAGAACTAAAATACTTTTGGAGTTTGAATTTGGAACCAGTCGTTAATCTTCCGAAAAGGAAATCGCATTACTAAATGTGTATATGTAGGCATAACATATGCCATTAATACAGATCAAGAAATGCTCACAATAAAGTGTTAGAAGAATATTAGAACACAAAAACGACTTAAAGATTTGATTTGAGTAGTGGCATATTGCTGTCTCTTTTTTCCTTTCTGATCATGGTTTTTGAGTGCAAAGAGGTTTCTTTGCTCTGTGTGTTTTGATTAGTGATTTAGTGTATTTAAGATTTTATCTTGTCCTTCAAATAACAAAGTTTTTATTCAACTCACATAAAATTGGGAAGTGAAGTACCGAGTACATTGTACAGTAGTGTGTAAAGCAAATGTTCAAACTGGGGGTAACACCACTCTACATAATAAAAATTATGTAGATAATTAGGACCGTACTTGCTAGATGATAGACTTGTTCAAGTGGTACTGCTATTGGTATCCCGTATCGGACTAATTGTCTCGGATACAACAACTAAAACTAGCCTTCTTTCTTCATTGGTGAATACAGGGTAGGAAAAGTAGCAATGATGAAAATGATGTATTGAAGGGGAAACAAAATAATCTTCCTATAAGAATTGTTGAAAACATACTGTTAGAACGGATGTTATAGGAAGGATAACTCTTATCAAATAGGCGGAGCCAAATTCAAAATTCTGCATGTGGACCTTAATCACTTAAAATATGGAGGTTTCAGGTGCAACAATTACGCTTAATAACTTCTTCATCTAAAAGTCTGAATTAAGAACTTCTTCATCTAAAAGTCTGAGTTAAGTTGTAATGTGGCTGATCTTTTGCTACTACTTTTCTGAAGGCATCTTTGTCTGGATAAAAATCCTTTTCTTTATTGGTAAACAAGAAACAGAATTGTGCGTAGCTTGGTTTATGCAGACTGTCTTTGTTCATAAATCAATCAATCAATTAACTATGGCTCAATGCAGGTTGACTATATGAATCCTCAGTATCCAATCTGCTCTTTTCATGTCCAATTCTCAAAACTCTGTTTGTTAATTTGACGGCAAAAAAAGTATAAGTTAGGTCCATTTCACTTCAAAAGCGTCTTTTTTTTGAGATAAGGGTAACTTTGTCTTGGGTGATGAGTTGGAAACTTACATCCTACAGGGTGGTGGGCTCACCCTCAAAAAGCCATACAGAATTACAAGTTTCCTTTAAAATCGACCATCTCTATGCTTTCCCCTACCAACTCTTGCTTACACCAAAAAAATAAAAGACTTGAGCATTTCATTTCTATCTTCTGAAAACTATCATTTTGTCCTTCAAAACACCTAGCATTCCTTTTGTATGTGATATATAAAACGTATGAGTAGTAGGCTTACTTTAGCTACTCTCTGTTTTATTATTGTAAACCGTATGCTCAGGTGAATGCATACATGACAGGTTAGCTCCATCTCCTGATCCCTCATTGACAATCACATTCTATGAGCGAACTCCTGAACAGCAGGCAGCTTTAGGGTATCTTGCTGACCCATCACAGCTGGGAGGACAAAGTGATGAGGTATCCAGTGAGGGGATAAATGATGTTCCTCATCGACTGCTAAATGAACCACATGGATCAGTTGGAGCAAGAGCGGGACGTCAGGCTATTGCTCAGGGTAACAGTGCAGAAATGGCTGAAGCTCTATTTCGATATTCAGCTCCTGAAGAGGTACGTCCTCCTGCTGGGGTTTCTTACATATATCTGTCCCTTTTAAACTTTCTTTCTGATTGCTTGTTCTTTTTGACAGGTGATGGTGTTTCCATCAACTTGTGGAGCATGCATGGTGAAGTGTGACTGTAAAATGTTTGTTACCAGTATCCTTTTCTACATTTACACAATAGAAAACCTCATTTCTGCATTCCTCCCCATACAGCCCCTTGCTGCGAAATAGAAGGGATTACTAATAGTTGCAATTGTTGCCCCTCATTTATTATATTTGTTACAAATTTGTTTTGTTCTATGAGGACATCTTCTTCTAATTAAACATGAGAATTTGTAATCATTGACAATTGTATAAGCTTAATTATAAAATGTACTAGCTTATGATTTTCATTTCTTGGAGGATCCCTATACATCTCTGTTATTAAATCTCCGTAACAGGGACATCCTAGAACAATTAAAAGAATCTGGATAGGATTGTGAGCTTCTTTTCAGTGATTAGATGCAAGTAAAGAGAATTGGCCCCATTTTATTAGTTTTTTTTTTCTATACATAACTTCTTCTTTTTTACAAAGGTAACAGTTTTCTGTACATAACTTTTACCATCTGGTATTGTGTTGTTTTGTGTAATTTGGTTTGATTAATTTATCTTTGTGATTTAGCATTTTCTATAAGAATTGCTACTGTCATCTGCTGCAAGCTATTCTGCTTCTATGGTATTGTTGAACTTGACCACTTAAAGATATTCCATACTTTCAAGAAGTAATAGTTATGGCATCCTCTTGTGATGCTTGTGGTTATCGCAACTCTGAGGTAATCTCTGTCATGTACTAGAAGAGAATAGCTTCTGGAATTTTTGTTAATGAGATTATGCCCGTCTTTGCAGCTGAAACCTGGTGGTCCTATATCTGAAAAGGGAAAGAAAATTACACTTCATGTGGAAAACATTAAAGATCTAAGCCGTGATGTGATTAAGGTATAACTCTCCAGCCTATATTTGGCAGAAATACTAGCTAATTATCTTTATTTTTATTTATTTTTGTTGATCATTCATTTGTTACCTTTCTCCAAAAAAAAAACAAAAACTTTTTTGTTTACTCTGTTATATTTGACTTAAGAAGCACATTTGCGTACTGCTTTCACATGTGACATGTACTTCTCAAACTTTGAAGATCACTATCTGTGAAAGCAAAGTTGTGCACGGATGTAAATATTCAGCATGTAGGCATGAACGCCAAGATTTTACTTTTTTTGTCTGGAAGTTGGGACCCTTTTGTTATATTTCTTTCCCTTGTGGATTTGTAAATACAGCATTTGAGAACATGCTTGAAGAACAAACACGACACCGTATCTGCAAATGGAATACGTTTCATGCTTATAACCCAAGATTATATTACTTAGTTTTAGAGTTTTACAAGTAAAAAGCGAAAGAATAACATGATGGGTGGCAAAGAAAAAACTAATTTGTACTTTGATGTAAAAGTGGCCTACTAGTGAATCTGAATCAGTATATGGACTTCTTAGACCTTGTTAGGAAGGAGAGTGTAGTAGGCTGTGCTTTATTCTCTGTATTTTGCTCCTTTCTGTACCATCTTGGTACTGCTTAAATAAAACTTTAAACTTGTCAAAAAAAAAAAAACAAAGAAAAACTAATGAACAAACAGTATCAACTTCCAACATTCCAACATTTCAACATCAGATCAGAGAGTTATTTTTTCAAGACCAAAAAAAAGACTAGCAAAGCACCACAACATCTAAGGGTAAGGGTGTGAAGTGGTCAATGAAGTGGGTGAAAAACTTGATGAGCAGGTTTCAAATCCCAACAGAGATAAAAACAGGTGATTTCTTCCCATCTGCCTAAACTTTGGTGGCAGATTATCTGGTGTTTGTGGTGGTTGGAGGTTGCAGGTAGGGTTATTCAGGATTTTTTGTCCATTTCCTTTCTCCTTATATTAGTGGTTTTGTTGTGAATATTGTGCTTTAATACTGGTTTGATTCAACCGAGACGCTCATAGTTTAATAAAAAGAATAAGAAGAGGACAGACAGCATCAAGATCATGTTCAAGAGCAGGCATCTTCTTCTGATGCATAAAAAAAATAAAATTGAAGAAGCACAACTTCTTTAACAAGTTCTACTTGACAGTATCATACTTCTACTATGCAGTACCTTCATTACAACTGTTGAGACCTAATTATCTTGAATCTGCTTGATATCACACATATTACAAATAGGAAAATAGTTTTTTTTTAATGGCTTGGAGCCATTTAACTGTTTCACCCACTTTGTTTGTTTGCATTCCTGACCCAAATTGTTGTTTTATATTTACCAGTCGGATAGTGCTGGAGTAGAAATTCCCGAGCTTGAGTTGGAGCTTACTAGTGGCACTTTGGGTGGAATGGTGACGACAGTTGAGGGTTTAATCACAAAGATCAGCGAAAGTGAGTATCTTGTTTTACCTACTTTGTCAAAAAAAAAAGTATCTTGTTTTCTCCTCCTTTTCCTTGTTTCTGTTTCTTGGATGATAATCTGTGGATGCATATTCAGTGCATCGATTATTTCAGTGAGGCATACTTGAATTTTCAAGCTCATCCAAAGGTCGAGCTTCAATTGAACTACTGTGAATCTACAGTCGTCGTATTTAAGTCTCTTGACATGTTTCTGATTTCTTCTTTTGTTTATTTTGTGTCTGTTAACTGAATGATTTCTTGTCTCAAATGGCATTTGTATAATCAATATCTCAACTCTTGAGATGTGCAAATACTCTATATTAGTTCACATGAACTACTGAATCGTCTTTTTCAATCTGAATGAACCTTATTCTTTTGTGGTATCTGCATTTGGTCTTTTTTAATTTGTCATTTAAACTTCTTCTTAAGTGAACCTTTTGTTTTAATGTAGGTCTTGAGAGAATACATGGATTCACATTTGGTGACAGTCTTGAGGAAGACAGGAAGAGCAAGTGGTTGGATTTCCGAGCAAGACTAGACAAGGTAAATGTGGAGAGATACCTCTTACTTGCTATATCATATATTGTTTAATCTTATATGTGATTTCTCCGTTAAGAGTTTCATTTCTATTCAAGATTATGAGATGTGAATCACCTGATTCTACGAAAATGTTTGTGGAAAATAATTACACCAGCATTCCCCAATTACCCCTAACCTTCTTCAGAGGAGCTATTTTAGGTGGTTATAACCATTTTTGGTACCATGACCGAGATGTAAAGATACAATCCGTATTTTCAAATACAAGTCTCCTTTTAACTTCCTCCATGTAATTCCATTCCAAATTTATTTATTTAATATATTTTTTGTTTTTCATTTCAAACATTCCACAGCTTTTGAGCTTGAAACAACCGTGGACATTGATCATCGATGATGCACTTGCAAATTCTTTTGTTGCACCTGCGACTGATGATCTCAAGGATGACAAACAGTTGAGATGTAAGTCATTTTTGCACTTAAGTACGCTCTTACCTTCTTCAGACCCCTTGCACTGGGTGTGGTGTTGTTAAAGAAGAAACCCGAAGTTTGTGGATCTTTTGCTTTCCCTCTTTTACACAAACCTCCTTTAATTGACAATAAGCGTGTTAAATTTTGCTCATTTGTGAACATATTTCACCAGTTGAAGAGTACGTTAGATCGTGGGACCAAAACGAGGAGTTGGGTCTTAATGACATGGACACCACCTCGGCCGATGCTGCTTACAGTTCAGCAGATGCTGCACCCAGCAAGAGTGCTGGCGATTGATAATTTTGTGTATTCATTTATATTGCTCTGGATTTAAAATTTAATGCACCTTGATTAGATTTTGTGCTTTTTAGCTTCATAGATGTAAAATTATTCCCAAGCGATTGTTCCCTTTTTGCCTTTGGACATGTACACCTCGTTCCAGCAGTGTTGATTATGAATCATGAATTATTATATACTGATTTCTTGTATTAAACGTTAAATTTAATATTGGCCTAAATAATTTTGCAAGAAACAAAGCTTTACACTGTAGAAGGGTTTTCCAACCATAAAAAGTTGCCAAAGCTGCAGCATGCCTCCATGGTGCCTTGCAAGTATTGTACTATACTAAAATAGTAAATATTCATATCAGAGTGTACTTTTTTCCTTCCAAAATAAGTGCTATATTTAATTTGGACACATCTCTTAAAAAATTATTCATTTCTAAAAAATAAGGAGTAATTTTACTAAATTATATTTTGATCAAAGAAAAGCTAATTCATAAGTTTTAGCAATGCAAGTAAAGGTAATTTTGAAAAAAATAAGATTAAGTTCTTCAAATTTTATAACACTACTTATTTTCAAATAAAATGAAAAAATAGAAAAAGTATGTTACCAGTGAAAAAGAGACAAAGATAAGGGTACGTGTCACTGTTTTATTCGTTATGGCACGTAGATAGCACACTTTTTTTTTTTTTTTTTTTTTTGTGAACTCACCAAAATTGTGCATCTGAATCACGTTTTTTCCACATCCTTCCCATTGGAGCCAAAAAGAAGAAGAAGAAGAAGATAGTAATAAATAAAACTAAAAATAACAACAATTAAAATATTAGGTGTATTTCAATTGATTTCTTTGGCTTAGGAAAAGTTGAAAATGATAAATTCTGTTATATAGTGAAGAATATATCTTCAGTCACATAATTATAGATAAGCTATATTTGTGTTATCAAAAATATTTACCCATTATAATGTGTCTTATTGCATAAAAATCAAAATGGTTGTTGATTGACAAATTCATCTTTTAGTATTTGTTTCTTAAAAAACAATTTATTATTACAATTCATTCGATTATCATATAAAGCAGATGATGGTTTAATTTTTTTACATTATAATACCATTGAATTCTCAATCCTTTGAATTAGAATTAGTAAGTTTTATTTCTCAATGGGGCACTGGGGAGACAACTATTAGATTTGTTCCCCAAAGTAAAAAAAATTAAATTGTTACAAGGTACAATTAGCTACTGGGAAAGGTAAAAGTAAAACTAGCTAAATTGATTCCTTCACTACAAAAGCATCCAAAGGAAATATCTCAAAATCTTCATTTTTTAATTCTTCACTAATCAATATCATCTAATATGGTGAAGTGGATAAGTTACTCCTCCGTTAATCAGAGATTGGTAGAAAACGCTCCCTCTAAGCCCTACACTGTGCGAATTTGAAATAATCGGCTCTAATATTAGTAACAGAAAATATCATCTCTACTGCTAGCTTGGTATATAGTCCAATAATTATTGTATGTCAAGAGTGGGCCACTACTTGTCTTTCATTCCATGTTTTTCTTAATATTTTGTACTATCTACTACTACATATTTCTTTGAGTTTCCAACCACTATTGGAACTCAAAAAAAACAAGGTGAAAATGGGCATGACCGTAGCAACTCCATTGCTTTTGTGTGCTTTCTTTATCTTTATCCTGCAGGTTTGGTTCTTGCTTCTATTAACCTCTCTATAGTATTTCTCACTTCTTGCATATTCTTTACTATGGATTTTAGTTTATACTGATTTTGACTTAAGGCATCATGATCATAGATTAGTGTAAAACAGAAATATTGACTTAATTTTGCAGCTTCAGGGATTATGCCTGAGCAAAGTCAAGGTTTCTTTTTTTTTTTTGGTTCAATACCAGTCCTCTGTATTACAATACTAAAAAAGACAGTTCGGTGCATGAAGCATCGTGTTCATGTAGCAGCCCAGGAGGTGCTGCACTCCTATTGGTGTAATGTAGGTTGCCTACCCTTGATCCATGACTGGTTTTACGGCTTGAACCTCTGATCTATAGCTGACATGGAGACAATTTTAGGCTCTCCTTCTCCTCTTATATAAAACTATAATTGAATAAATGTGATTACATGTAACATTTATGACTAATTGGTAGCTGATTAGTTGTAAGACAAGACTTACTTCCATAATTCACTGCAGGCTTTGTGGCTGTGTGCTTAATGAATCTGAGTATTATGACTAGGAAATTAAACTAACCTAGAGTGAGAACAGTTTTCTGCTGTGATATTTGATTGAAAGCTGGCCAGTAGGAGAAATAGGAAAAGGGGAAAAAATAGAAGAAATAAGTGGACTATGTTTTTTTTAACCCTTTCCTAGGAGCTCCCACCTTTTTGCTCCCTTGGTGACTCGAACTCACAACCTTCGGGTTGGAAGTGATGGGTACTTACTATCCGAGTAGCACCCTCTTGTCGTGGACTATGTCCAAGTTCTGCTTGCTCAGCTAAAGAGATAGTGTATGAAGCTTTTGCAAGCCTATTCTCAAAAAGTTTTTATCTTTTAGTGTTGTTCATTGATGAATACAATTGCTAGATCTATCATTTGTTCTTATGGAAATAAAAGCAGGTTTTTGCAGAGAAGCCAATATCTGAAGCTAAAGGTGAATCCGTAATCCTTCAGGTATATTCTTCTTTTCATGATTCATGTTATAGCTTACTGTCCTTGCTCCTTCAATTTTAAAACTCAGAGAGATTTTTGGATGATCATATAGGAATCAATCATCAAAGAGGTGAATGAAAATGCTAAAGCTGGATGGAAAGCTGCATTCAACCCTCGGTTCTCGAATTTCACAGTAAGATCTTTATATATTTATAACTAGTAACAGTTTTAGAGGGATATCTCATCCTTCATGGCTCCTATTTTCACAGGTTTCTCAATTTAAGCGCCTGCTCGGAGTTAAGCCCCCAAGAGAGGGTGATCTTAAGAGCATCCCTATTTTAACTCATCCAAAACTTAAAAATTTACCAAAAGAGTTCGATGCACGAACAGCTTGGCCTCAATGTAGCACAATTGGAAGAATTCTTGGTCAGTTTCTTCATCTTATTGTTTGGTCCTTCTATGCTATATTCTGATTAGTACAATGCTGATGTTTTCTGTACCTTACATTGCAGATCAGGTGACTGCTCTTGCTTACTATTTATTCTCACTCTTGAAAATGCTAAATGCCCTTTCCAGATTCTATAGTGGTCTTATCCTTTATATTCCAGGGACATTGCGGTTCTTGTTGGGCTTTTGGCGCTGTTGAATCACTTTCTGACCGTTTCTGTATTCATTATGGCTTGGTAAATTCATGTTAATCAAAGAAACACTTGCAAGGTTTCATTACAACGATGATCTTTGATGATTTGCTTTTGATGTGTGATGTAGAATATATCTCTATCCGTAAATGATGTAATAGCATGCTGTGGCTTTTCTTGTGGGAATGGCTGTGATGGTGGATCTCCCATAAGAGCATGGCATTACTTTATCCGCAAGGGTGTGGTCTCAGAAAAGGTAAATAATATTCTTTTCGACTTAGTCACCTCAGAGGGATATGCTCAACGACTCATACGTTAGTAAAACTTGTTCTTGCAGTGTGACCCTTACTTCGATAATATTGGATGTTCCCACCCTGGTTGTGAACCTACATATCCCACCCCACAGTGCAACAGGAAGTGTGTTAAGGAGAATCTACTCTGGAGTAAGTCCAAGCATTTCGGTGTGAATGCATACATGATCAGCTCCGATCCATACAGTATCATGACAGAAGTTTACAAGAATGGACCAGTTGAGGTTGCTTTAAATGTTTATGAGGTAAGAATGAATGATAAGTATTTGTATATTCTGTGAACATTGTGTGGTATTTACTGGCGAAATACTTTTAGGTACAATGTAGATTGCTTAGCACAGAGCAGTAACATAAGTTACTTGGTTATGTAAGGGTTAATATTTTCCTTTCCTAGAATAAGGATTAATTTGTTGAAGTTTTTCGTCGATCACAGGATTTTGCTCACTACAAGTCAGGAGTTTACAAGCACGTAACAGGGGAGTATATCGGAGGCCATGCTGTTAAGCTCATCGGATGGGGAACTAGTGAGGAAGGAGAGGACTATTGGGTATGTTGTAACTATTAGTATCTACTTAAGATTATGTCAACTTATCAATAGTTAATCATCATCTTCTTCTTTTTTTCTGCAGCTTCTTGTGAATTCTTGGAACAAAGGCTGGGGTGATGTATGTCCTTATTGAGTTTATATGGTTGATTTCTCAGATGGTCACTCAACTAATTCTTATAATCTCATATGAAAGCGACTTCTTGAGATAATAGCGGCTAGTTGAGTGACTATATGAGAAATCAACTCCCAATTTACATGAGCGAAAAAGTTAGTAGTATTATATTTCTATAAGCTTTTTGCTTAAGTGTATTTGTGTGTGTATATGCCAGGATGGGTACTTCAAGATCAGAAGAGGAACAAATGAGTGTGACATTGAATCTAATGTAGTTGCAGGATTGCCTTCAGCAAGAAATCTAAATGTGGAACTTGATGATGATTTCCTTAATGTATCAATGTAAAATGCTACTTCATCAACAGGACGCTAAATAATACTACTACCAAAGTCTATGCAATTTATGAAGTCCTTTGGTAGTGTGTATAAGAATTATGTTGAATATGATGTATTAGTAATGTTTACATTAATAATGATAGTATTAGTTATGATTGTATTGGTTATGATAAGATTATTTTTGGTGCATTTAAAATAACATGCATTGTATACTTTCTAAAATAAATTATTTGTGTACAAAAATACCATCCACAAACATGGTAGAAAGGACATGGAAAAAGTTTTGAGAGACAAATAAAGTATTGAATTAGTTATACATAGGGTGGAAAAATGTACTATGAAACATGATCCTAATAATATACATATTGTTAATGCATGCATTATTTTTTCTAATGTATTTTACCAAATGACACCTAAATTGCATTTTCATCTTGTGGATTTAATTAGATGTACAATTCAAAGTTTCCACTATAAATTACTTGAATCTAGATTAAGTCAGGCCTCAATAATGTGGATATTTGTCTATCTTGTGAGAAATTCAAAAAACATAATTGTTCCTTTATTGAGTAACATTTAATAAGGAAAATTTTAGTATCTCAGTTGCTTAGTTACATAAATTTATCTTATTGATGAGTGTACGATTCTCTACCTTATAATCACCCCCTTATTTTTCCTTCCTAGCCCTAATTTTTCTTTTTAAAGAAAGGGGAACATCCGATGCAACACCTCTATAAATAAGTTTTCCTACAAAAAGATTTAGCTCTTTATAGAATCTACAGTTAAATTAGACAAAAGGTGCTCACCGTAAGATATGATATTTATTTAGATCTTTCTCAATCAATCAAAAGAAAGAGGAAAAGAAAAAAAAACATTACTGGTGGGAAAAGAGATGAAAAGTAAGGGTGATAATTTGATAGAAAAATAACATTTTAAATTATTGATAGAAATTTAATGAAATATGACAATTAATTTAACACGATAGAAGTAGTTTTTTTTTTTTTACACACTTTGTGGAGGAAAATTGTACACCTGACTAAACAAAAAGAAAATCTAAACAAAAAATTAGTTTGAATTTTACTTTGTAATATCTCTGGCTTTGGATGAAACGTGACTTAATCAAATTCTATTATGATTCTGTCACTCACAATTACATATTGGTCCAAAACTAGTGTTATCCCTTACAATTTCACGATATTGATTGATTTGGAATAATTTAATTATACTTCAATAATACAATATCACTCCAATTTTCAAATTAATTTTTACGTTTCATTTACTTTCTCAAATTGTTTATCCAGCTTGTTACTGCAATTAAATTAAATATGAATATCGACTGTGGTTGCACATGTAAAGTCTGTTTCCTCGAGCAATCTGACATGGAGACTTCAAAATTTCTATAAAAAAAATAATATATTTTAACTTATAAGATTTTTATTATATAAAGAATTTTTTTAGAGTCATTTGGTAGCTAGTTAAAATTATACAGGTATTAGTAATATAGAGATTAGTTGTGAAAGAATTTATGTATATACGGGTATTCATTAGGCAAAGATTAGTTATATATGTATGAGTTATTTCATTTTATATCGTGCATTATACAATTCATAATAAATTTCTAAATTATCAACCAAACATCGTATTCACATGAATAACTTATTTCTTATTCCCGTAGGGTGGGGCAGTATTGCTTGTGATATAGTCCAACTGGAATACCTAACATACCAAGTTGAACTAGACTTTTGGGAAAGGTAAAACACTCAAAATTCTTTAATCCAAAAAAATATCTTATAAAACCAACCACAAGTAGACATCATCTTCTTGTTTTATAAAGCCATTTTTTAAATATATTGTCAGAGAATGGGCCAATAAAATTGGTTGTTATTCTCTTTATCTTTTTTTCCTCTTTATTTTATAAATACCTTTGAGATTCCTCCATTTCCACAACACAATTTGAAAGCTTTAAAGAAAAAAAAAAGATGGCCTTGACTTTGAAGTCTTTAATAACTCCTTTGCTTTTGGGTGCTTTCTTTATCCTGATCTTACAGGTTTGTTTCTTCAATTTTAATGAACATGTCTATAGTACTATCTTTTATGATCTTTTTTGGATTGTTCTTGCTTATTAAATTGATGGTCTTGTTTAGATCAGAGACGTAGCTAGAAGTTTGAGTTTATTGGATTTTTAGATAAATCATTTGAACTAGATTGAATGAATTTTTCATAAACAACATACTAGTGTGATTCCACGAGTAGAGTCTGGGGAGAGTAGGATAAGATAAGATGTAAGCAGAGCTTACTTTGACCTTTGTGTCATTTGTGGGATAGAAAGACTGTTTCCAATAGACCCTCGGGGCCATGGTTTAGATGGTCTAGATTGTTAGTTTTTGATGATTACATGGAGTAGCCTTTTGCTATTTCTTGAGAAAGATCATAGATTGTTGAGTATTTTGGACTTCATATGCTTTAGTTCAACTTTGACTTGAAATGAACATAAATGAATTTTTATGATTTTCTGATTACATAATGGAAAAAAAAGAAAGTAAAGACATGTTTTTGCTGCTTCAGCATATGGTTTGATGAGAAATTCTTATGTATTAGTTAACTTACATGTTCCTATATAAGTCTTTATACATAAACATACACTCAAACTTGGTCCCAGCAAGTAAGCCCTATAACCTCGAGTATGTACATCTGGACACCTCAACTCGTCTCCAATGCGTTAGTTGAAAACTCCAACTTACAAAATGATCACTTGGACACCTCCAAAACTCATGTGTCATGTCAGATGTCCATGAGACGCAATGGGTACGAGTTGGACTGTTTTGTTGCCAATTGAGACCAAGTTGAGTTGTCTAATATGCACTTTCAAATTGGAGTGTTCACTTGTCAGCTGAGGCCGTGTTTGAGTGTCTGTTTATATATTATGTCTTCTATATATACATGAGTCTACATGAGAGGAAGTAGAAGAGAAGAAATAGTTGACTAGTTACAACTTCTGCTTGCTCTATATTTCGTCATAATTTCCCCATGTTGTAGTGTTTTAGTTGTATGATGTATTAGCTACATATTTTTGTCAAAAAGAAATATTCAGGCTAAGAGTATTGTAATGCTGTCTTCTTTGAAAGCAGGTTGCTGCAGAGAAGCCAATATCTGAAGCTAAACTTGAATCTGCAATCCTTCAAGTATGCTCTTTTGTTCATGATTCAAGAAGATGTTATTGTCATTGTGCTCAGGTTGAATTTAAAATTGAGACACCTTAATTTTTGGATGATAATGTAGGACTCGATCGTCAAACAAGTCAATGAGAATGCCGAAGCTGGATGGAAAGCTGCATTCAACCCTCAATTATCGAATTTCACGGTGAGACCATCATATAGCTAAATACTAAAACTTCTAAACGCTAACAGTGTAAAAGTAAGATAACTACCCCTAATTTCCTGTAAAAAGTGGGATCAGTAACCTTGAACATATGACATGTTAACCAGTGACAGTTGCATTTTCTTTTAGTGGGATGTTTCATACTTCCCCATTCGATTTTGCAGCTATACACCGAAAACATGCATTTATAATTATGTCGATACTTGGTTGTCACAGGTTTCCCAATTTAAGCGCCTTCTTGGAGTTAAGCCTGCAAGAGAAGGTGATTTGGAGGGAATTCCTGTTCTAACTCATCCAAGACTTAAGGAGTTGCCAAAAGAGTTTGATGCACGAAAGGCTTGGCCTCAATGCAGCACAATTGGAAAAATTCTGGGTCAGTCATTTCACTTCCTTGCTCCGTCCTTCCTAGCTATAATTCTATAATAGAGATTCTAATGTTTTTCATCTTTGCACATCAATCACCGGGACAAATTTGCATCACAGATCAGGTGATTTTCTGCTACTGGTCTAGTTTCTTTCTATTAAATGTGCTAAATGGCACATTGTAGGTTCTCTCTAGTGATCTAATCCTATATTTTTCAGGGACATTGCGGTTCTTGTTGGGCTTTTGGTGCTGTTGAGTCGCTGTCTGATCGTTTCTGTATCCATTATAATTTGGTAAGTTCTGTTGAACTATGTGACTACCTAATTTAAACTGTTAGAAATGATACATTTCACGAGCCTAATTCAACACGCCCTCTCATGTGTGAGCCTAATTCTATGTCATGACTATGAGCCAAGCACGTAACCACCACCTCATCTTAGCACACAAACTTGTTTAGTTTGACTGTAGTTACAGTTACTGATGTTAACTTTTAATGTGTAATGCAGAGTATCTCTCTGTCTGTAAATGATCTGTTAGCGTGCTGTGGCTTTTTATGCGGGAGTGGTTGTGATGGTGGATATCCTATAGCAGCATGGCGATACTTTAAACGTAGGGGAGTGGTCACAGAAGAGGTAAATGGTGACTTATTGTCACCTCAGTGAAATTACAGCTTTCTGTAAAACACCTAGAGTAGTATGGCTCTTTACGATCAATCACTAACAAATTGAGCATATGCTGGCAGTGTGATCCTTACTTCGACACTACTGGATGTTCCCACCCTGGTTGTGAACCGCTCTACCCCACTCCAAAATGTCATAGGAAGTGTGTCAAGGGGAACGAGTTATGGAGGAAATCAAAGCATTACGGTGTCAATGCATACAGGGTCAGCCATGATCCCCAGAGTATCATGGCGGAAGTTTACAAAAATGGACCAGTTGAGGTCTCTTTTACTGTCTACGAGGTAACAAGGAGAAGGATAATGTCATACAGTTCTCAAACAACACATTGTCTAAGCTTAAATAACCTTTGTTGTCTCTTTTTACTAGCAGCACTTCCCGGTACTGAATAACTTGAAACTTTTCGTCAATCACAGGATTTTGCTCACTACAAATCAGGAGTTTACAAGCATGTAACAGGGGGAAACATGGGAGGCCACGCTGTTAAGCTTATCGGATGGGGAACTAGTGAGCAAGGAGAGGACTATTGGGTACGTTGATGTGTTCTAGTTATCATCTTCTATTTACTATCTAAAACCATACTTCATTTTGTCAAAAATTTAATAACCTTCTTTATATCTTCTTGCAGCTCATTGTTAATTCTTGGAATAGAGGCTGGGGTGAAGTATGTTATATCCTTGATTTTCTCCTTATGCTCTCACCACTTCTTGTTGAACATGCACTAACACACACATATCTATACAACTTTTAACTTATATATACTGACAACGTAAATAGTATATCCACCGGTTAAAGCAAGTTATTTATTACAAATCATACATTGTCAGTGCAAATAAGTTCAACTCTATCTCTCCATGATGACAGGATGGATACTTCAAGATCAGAAGAGGAACAAATGAGTGTGGCATTGAACATAATGTGGTTGCAGGATTGCCTTCAGCAAGAAATTTGAATGTGGAACTTGGTGATGCTGTCCTTGATGCCTCAATGTAAAATTGATATTTCTTCAACAAGTACATAACATAATAATACTAGCAATATGATACTGGGGACAAGAAAAACCTTATGAATTGCATATTTATCTTGTTGATTTAATCTGTATAATTCATAATTAATACTTGTTCTAATAGTCACTTTTCACTTTTCAATTTTATGACTTAAAGAATACTTTTGTTTGTTGCACTTACTCCCTCAGTTTCAATTAGTTCCTATTTGACATGGAGTTCAAGAAAATAAAGAAGACTTTTAAATTTTGTGATCTTGAATCGGGGTGGATCTAGGGGTTGTCATGGTGTTCGCCTGAACCCCCTCAACAAAAATTACACGGTATATGTAGGGTAATTATTTTTAAAGTGTTTATGTATATATATAGATTTTGAATGTCGTGGACACAAGACTAGAGATTGGATAAGTAGTTAAGAGAATTCAAAATTCACTTTGAGGTTGTGTGAACCTAAATTTAATTGGGGCATCCACCTAAGAGCTTTTTAAATAAAAATTAAAAAAACACAGCTCAACACCAAAATCGATAGAGTTATGCACAACTCGTTTAAATATGACTCGGATGAAAGTTGAATATACTCTTTTCATTTTGTATTACTTGATCCCTATTGACCGAACACACTCCTTGAGAAAATTTTAATTAGAATTGTGTTTTACTAAACTAACTTTACTAATATACTTTGGAACTCTAAATTTAACTACTACTATTTTATATGTAGTTATTTATACCAAGGATAATATGACAAAAAAGTAAAAAAAAATCTCTTTAAATTGTTAAAATGTACCTTAAACGCATTTGCGAATGCATTTTTATCTAATATTCATAAAAACCATGCAAAAAACCTCCAAAGGTAGCTTTTCAAGACCTTAATTAGTGTCTATTTATTTATTTTAATTAGACACCCTTTTTGAGTGGAAAAAGATGACAACATTTTTCTTTTCATGATTGTCAGTTTATTCGTTTATATATTTATTCAATAAATATAGTTGACAAATTAGAAATTTATTCTTCTTATACTTTCATTTGTTTACTATACTAAAAATAATTGTCATTTTTACTTGATCAATTTGAAAAATCATGAGAAAATTTGTCACTTTCTCAATGCATTTTAAAAACATTGAGTTTATCATGATTAAAAGAAAATATTAATAAAATTATCATTCTATTTATTATTCTTTACAAGATGCGTCAAGTGAGTTGAGAATGAATAAGTAAATATGTATAGAGAGAGTACTATAATTTTGTTTTTAGATAATTTCCTCGAGAATTATATATTACTCCATCTATCTCCAATAATTTGTCATAATTTCTAAAAATAATTATCTCAAACTATTTATTATTTACTACAAATCATACATAGTCGATGCATGTAAGTTAAAGCTCTATCGGCTTAAGTCATCCACGACCCCTTAAAGTTGTCCGCATAATTCACTTGGACACCTGAACTAAGACTTGTACCTATTGAACACCTAAATTGTTCAAGGCATGTACCTATTAAACACAAAGCGCTGATGTGGCAAAATAAGTATATCTCACTGGTGATGAGTGTGTGAATACATATTTTTTTAAAGTAAATTTGTACCTACTTTCTTGACACTTGCATGCATTGACTAAATAAATGAAAAATTAATTTAATTAAACATTAATCTTTTAATTCATAAAAAAAAAAAAAACCAACCTCACACCCATGTACAAGTCTTCTTCTTCTTCTTCTACCCATCATTTTCAAGACTTCAAATTTCTCTTGTCTTTTGTTTTGGCATTTTTTTTTCTTCATTTTTGGTAAACAAACTGCCTGCTAAATTTGCAAACAAACTTCCTGTTGAATTTGCAAGAAGAAGAAAAAAAATCGATCATTGGAGTTAAAAAGTCGACCAATATTTGTGCATCTTTATTTTCAATAACTCCGATCGAGCAACCATCACCATTCATTAAATTTATTAAAAATGTTATAATTTTTTTTGCTATAATTCTGATTTCTCTTCGTTTTCAATTTTGAAATAATTTATCGATGTCGATTATTCTTATTTTGAGTAACACGGGAAGAAAAAGAAAGAGGAAAGGATTTGGTGGGTGTATTCAGGAAGGGGTGGGGGAGATATTTTTTTTCGTTATCGCCGGAGAAATCGATGGTGAATGGCGATGGCGGAGTGACAGAGAAGAAGACGAAGGAGAAAGGGCAATGGGTTAGATGGGGTGGGGGGCTAGGTGGGAGTGGGGGAGAATTTTTTTTTGTCAATTTAATTTTCTATATTATTAAAGGCTGAAAATTATTTTTTATTTTTCAAAATTAAAATTATGGGCCATATGCCGCGTGTCCTAATTTTATTTGTGATTTTGTCAAGATAATGTGTGTAAATTACACGCACAATATTTTTAATGCTAGTTGTCATTTTATGTTCAATAGATAAATATTTGTTAATATTAAAGTGTCTAATAGGTAAGAATTTCAATTGAGGTGTCTAAATGAATTATGCGGACAACTTTAAGGGATCGCAGATGACTTAAGCCAAGCTCTATCTCTCCGTGATGACATGATGGATACTTCAAGATCAGAAAGAGGAACAAATGAGTGTGGCATTGAACTTAGTGTGGTTGCAGGATTGCCTTCAGCAAGAAATTTGAATGTAGAACTTGATGATGCTTTCCTTGATGCCTCAATGTAAATTGCTATTTAATTAGTTTCAGTTTGACACGGAATTTTAAAAAATATTTTTTTTTTTAAAAAATATTGTGGTCTTAAATCAAAGACATGTAATATGATAAAATATTATTTAATTTTGTAATCATAAACATGTCACATGATAAGTTAGCATTAAAGAGTTACTACAACTTTACTAAGAAAGGTGTTTGTTGAGTAAGACCAACTTTTGAGCCCAAGCCCCCTGATATAGAGATATTGTAGTATACTACTAGGGATAACTTGTGCTCTTATTCTTGAGTCAAAAGTAGGGAAGAGACACTCAATCAAGCGATAGGGGCAGAGACTTTACTTCGCTAGGACGGAGTAGCTGTCGATTGAGGATTGACCAAGGGCCCTTTTTTCTTTTATAAGGGAAGAGATGATTGGGCGCTTGAGTGTTTTTTTCTCGTATTTATTAGGATTTTTCTTGAGTTTGAAATAAGGAGCAAGAAAGAAAAAGTAGCAGTTACGACTTATGCGTTAACACACCCCTTTTCTTGTCAGAGTGTTATTGTGCAATCTTAAAAAATTATTCTTTTCAAAATGAATTAAAAAATAATAAGACGGATAAGTTAAAACGGATGAAGTAATAAATAAGTTTGGGGACTTAGCTAGGAGCTGAAAACAGTGGGCATGCCTGCCATGCCATCCCATCAAATCCAATACCATACTAGTTGTCCACACGCCACTTTAAGTTACATAATTTTCTATTAAAACTTTGGCCTAAAGTCACTCGTATAAATAGAAAAGATAAGATGTTTATTAAGATTATAACATATGAATATAATTATGTAACTTTGAGTCATGTATTTAGTAGTTTAATCATGAACATAATATAAAAAATTAATTTATTTGTGGTGTAAATTGTTTTTAATAAGAAATTGATTGAGTGATTTTATTGATATAAAGACCTAAATTGAGTGATTTTATTGATACAAAATAAATATTAGTGACTTTGCTAGATAAAATTCTAAAGTTGAGTGACATTTTAAGATATTAACTCATGAATAGATATAAGTATATAATATATATTAAGTTATTATATTAAAATCTAAATATTGTATTAGTAAGAACTTTTATTTCTCAATGTAAACTAAACTAATCTAGTACCTTTCCAACATATTATTACTAAATTCTTTTAATAATATTATATTTTTCTATTCAAGTTGGAAAGATATACGTATATATCCATAAGACCCATTACGTTATCTTTCATATTTATTTATTTCATAAAAAAACAAGAATTGAAATTACGGCCAATTCTTCCAAATAATGGTAAACAAACAAGTGGATAGTTCATTTCAAATTAAAAATAACTTGAGGGATTTTTATTTTAATATTTTTTTTACAAACAGATGATAAGAGATAAAAATGATGAATTAAATAATGACATGTGTAATTTAAATCTAAAAATGTTTTTTAAAAATGAAATTCTAAAAAATAACTATTTTAGTCTATTTTAAAAAAAAACTAACTAAAAAATTATAAACGATTTTTCTAAAAAAAGCCACCTACACACCCACGCCACCAGTCCTCTTCGTCAAATCATGTACTATCATGTTCCCCGACGGTATCGTGATCACAATGAGTAAGCCTTGCCTCTTTGCCCCAAGTAGTATGACATGGTTGCGCACCCAAGCTAAAAATTAATTCCCCTTTCAACCGAATAACATCAAAAGTATTCACTCATTCCATTCATTTTCTTTCCATTACTAATCATTTATTACAATTATATGAAAAATAGTTAACTTTTACCGGAAAAAAATGTTATCTTCATTAAAAAAATGGAGTTATGCCGGAAAATATGAAACTTAGGTCTATGTAATAACTAAAAAATAAAAGAAGGAAAAAATCAAAAAGAGTTGGAGAGAGTGAGAGAAAGAATGAGAGAGGTGGAAGGGGTGTGGGTGAAGGAGATTATGAAAAGAGGGGGTGGGGGGAAGAAGACGACTTTTCTTCTTCTTTTTTCATTTCTTTTTGTTAATTAATTTTAAAAAATATTAGCAGTATAAGTTGGAAAATAAATAAAAAATAAAAAATCAATTGTTTAACGCGTTTAAGGAGGGTGGAACACACTTTTTTAGTCATGTCAACATTTTGTGTTTAATAGAAATGACTTTTGAATAAATAAGATAACAATAGGCACAAACCTTAATTGAAGTGTTTAAGTGAAATATGCGAGATACATTTGAGTGGCTTGTGGATCACTTAGGCCTTACCTTTAAAATGACAAAATTAGTACACTCTTATATCCAATAAAAAAATTACACGTGTTCCTCAACTAAACATTTTCCAGACCTAGGGACTGAACATTAATTAATCCAATTATTTAATTCAAAATATCTTAGAAGGGAGCAATAATATAATCTTATTTTTAATACGTCAAGAAAGAGGGCCAATAATTCATTCATCTTTTTCCTGTATCTATAAATATAAATATATATTTTCTGGAGTTCCTTCATTTTTAAACCACCATTGCAGAACCCCAAAAATATGAAGCACATAACCATTTTTTTTGCTTTTGGTTGCTTTTAATTCCCACAGTGTGGAAAGGGGGAGGGGGATGGATGGTGTAATGGTATTTTGTGTATATGGTTTTTCACATACCATAAACTTTAAAGGTGTATATGAATGAAGCGCCAATAGATGATAATCTACCACAGTAGATATTTTCATATTTCTAAGATTACATAAAGGTAGAAAGATGTTTCTTAGCAAGTAATTGTTCAATTTGAATCAATTGCCCAGGTCCTAACTCCTAAGAAAGTAATTGTCTAATTAAACCATGCGGAGACAAATCCTAGTTTGCCATGAGCTTCTGCAAGGCCACTGTTTATTCTGTGCTGGTTCATATTCACACTTTAAGTTCCTTGATTATAAAATGTTGAGTGGGAATTGTCAAATGGTACCAGAGCCTGAACTTGATGCTATCTTGCTCTTAACTTATTTATATTTGGATGCTGATGAATAATTTGTGAGTGGTAAGGGACAGGCGTAAACATTCAGACTTAGCACATATAGTTGCATCTATTGTCTATTGCCAAACGCAGAAAATGAAAACATTTGTTTTTATATTTACAACTAACTTTTTAATATGATGTACCAAATCAATTTATCAACTTAGGTCGAAGTAAATATAGTTTTCTTTCCAGTCCTAGTTCTCTTGCAGCTAAATGCATGCAAAACAATATACACTTGCAGTACAAGTGTAGATTTTGCAACAATGGTTGTGTGTGTTTCACGAGTAGAAGAAAGAAAAAAGTATATGGGTCAAATTAATGAGAAAATTCATGGCATGTTATGACTGGAAATTAAAGAAAACTAGAAATGCGAAACAGCATTTTGCTGCTATGTTGAGTTTGTAAGTGGGAAATTGAAGACTTCACCTCCAGACTTCCCCCATTTTGCTAAGAAATAGAAAAGGGGAAATGGTGGAGGAGAAGCGTTGCTGCTTGAGCCAAAATTACATGGTCGAGTTCTTAATCTCTTTCATATTCTCAATGTTGCTTTCGACATTACAGCGGCTAGGATGTTAGGGATTCAATTTAAGAGCATTTAGAAGTTGACAGTCTGAATTGTGGATGTTTTAGGTCCAATTATTGCGAAAGCTTAGTCTTGGTTGGTTAAAGTACCATATGCTGAAGCCTATACCCGAAGTTATTTAATCTTCCTATAGTCCATTGTTGAATACATAATTTCTTTTTTGAACGGCAAGCAGGTTGTTGCAGAAAATCCAATATCCCAAGCTAAAGCGGAATCTGCAATCCTTCAGGTATGATTTCCTTCATCATAGAGAAGATATGTCATTGTACTCTGATCAAACTAAAGGTCACAGATTCTTTTTGAATGGTCGTACAGGACTCAATCGTTAAACAGGTTAATGAAAATGAAAAAGCTGGATGGAGAGCTGCACTGAACCCTCAATTCTTGAATTTCACGGTGAGATTTCCATAAAGCTGTATATTTGTTTTGGACAAACTTAGGTGCACTTTCTTTGTGCAATGCCACATCCTTCAGCTCTCCTTTTATGAGTGCATGTACCCTTCATTCACAGGTTTCCCAATTTAAGCGCCTTCTTGGAGTTAAGCCCACAAGAAAGGGTGATTTGAAGGGTATCCCTATTTTAACTCATCCAGAACTTTTGAAGTTACCCCAAGAGTTTGATGCACGAGTGGCTTGGCCTCAGTGTAGCACTATTGGGAGAATTCTTGGTTAGTTTCTTCTCTTTTGTCCTTGGTTTAGTGCTGTAGTTCTATAGAATGGTGCTAATGCTTTCCATCTTTTGATGTCATGCACCGGTACTGTTTTGCGACGCAGATCAGGTGATTTGTCTTGGTTCTAATTTCACTCATTTGTCTTTCCTCCTGAATTTGCAAATTGCTCTTTCCTGGTATTCTAACAATCTGATCGTTTGTATTTCAGGGACATTGTGGTTCTTGTTGGGCTTTTGGTGCTGCTGAGTCGTTGTCTGATCGTTTCTGTATTCATTATGGCTTGGTAAATTCATTCCTTCATGCAGAAACTTCCAAGTTTATTCTAGTTATGGTTGCTAATGATTCAATTTTTATGTGTGAGGCAGAATATCTCTCTGTCAGCAAATGATATCGTAGCATGCTGTGGCTATTTATGTGGGGATGGTTGTGATGGTGGATATCCATTAGAAGCTTAGAAATACTTTGTTCGCAAGGGTGTGGTCACTGAAGAGGTATACTGTTTTGTTATACACTTATTGTACTTCAGAGGGATCACATCTTTCAGATATTGTGGGATTCTTATACCGATCTGAAAAAAGATTGTGGATCATTATGCTCGACTAATAAAATTTTTCCTGTCAGTGTGACCCTTACTTTGATAATAAGGGATGTTCCCACCCTGGATGTGAACCTACATATCGCACTCCACAGTGCAAGAGGAAGTGTGTTAAAGAGAATCTACTCTGGAATAAATCCAAGCATTTTGGCGTCAATGCATACCTGATCAACTCCGATCCGTACAGTATCATGACAGAAGTTTACAAGAATGGACCAGTTGAGGTTTCTTTTACTGTTTACGAGGTAAGAATGATTGAGGAAGAGAGTAAAGTTCTGATCCTGAATTTTTGGGTACAATTTATAGTATATGATATGAAGTTGAATGTTGCATGAACCTGATAAACAACAACAATAACAACTATGCCTTAATCCGACACAACAATCGAACAGCAGTTCTCTATCTACCCCGTGATATTGTTAACCTTGGACGGCTTATTTCACGCTAACTCTAATGAACTTTGAGAAACTTTAGTTAAATATTACAAAATACCCTTTTCTAATTTTTAAAATATGATTCCCTTACAAATCATATGTGAGGACAATAATAATGCTTGGCTGAATTAATTAGCAAAATATAATTGGAATTACTTTCTTTTGATGGTTAACTGTCAAATAATTGTTGGTAATCTGTTCGACAGAGTTCAAAATAATTGTTGATCACCAACTCTACCCTTCTGAATTCTAGTGTTACCATCTACTATGTTTGTGGAAATATTGTGCCAATTAGTGATCTGTAGAGGTTTATGTTCCAGGATAATTATGTCCATGACAGTAATGAAGTACCAGTTAGAAAGTCCAATGATCTGCTTAAATGCATCTAAAGGTCATTGTTTAGACGCACTAATTTCTCAGTCTGGAAATATTTGTGCCATTTGTGCATAATTGTACTGTTTGTCAATTGGTGCATACTTAAGTAGTAGACCGCTTATTTTGTTCTTGCATTTACCCTCAGCATGGTGTCCTTGTGAATGCATCCTCTTTTCTGGTGAAATTGAAATTTGCCGCTTGGATTAGTTTCTTTACTCTTTCTGTTATCTTCTCCTATTTTTACCTGTGACCTCCCTGTACTGAATGACAAACTGTTTCTCGAGCACAGGATTTCGCTCACTACAAGTCTGGAGTTTACAAACACACAAATGGTGAGGAAATGGGAGGCCATGCTGTTAAGCTCATTGGATGGGGAACCTCTGAGGATGGAGAGGACTATTGGGTTTGTTGACATCTTCTAATTGTGCCATTATGATCTTCAAATCATTTCGTCCTTTCTAAATTTGATCATCTTTTTTGGCTTTGCAGCTCCTTGCCAATCAATGGAACAGAGGCTGGGGTGACGTATGTCTTGATCCAACCCTTTTTCTTTAAACATTTTACTTGATCAAAGATAGTTCCTCCTTCTACGAGAATATTAGAAGTTGTTGAACCATTGGTTTACCCTTTCTTAATAGGATTTTACACACTTGATTCATAATGTTCAACATCTGTCGCTAATACTTTTGTACATGTGCATTCTTGGGTGATTGCATCTTTCCTACTTCTTGAACATGTGCTAATTAAGCAGCGTGTACATCCTTATGATGTTCTTCTCAAATGTATATGTGTCTTCATGGCAGGATGGCTACTTCAAGATCAGAAGAGGAACAAACGAGTGTGGCATTGAAGAAGAAGTGGTTGCAGGAATGCCTTCACCCAAAAACCTGAACGTGGAACTTGATGTCTCTGATGCTTTCCTCGACGCCTCAATGTGATTGCTAATTCTTCAACTAAACACTAAATAGGATTCGAGTTTCTGAAGACTTGGGGAATAATAACATTTTAAGTTTCATATTCTTCCCCTCTTAAGTTATCTGCAACATTTGTAATCTGCAATTGTTCCACAATCTTATCTATCTTTAGAAGTGTTTTTCTTATCTGTTATGTATTTCTTCACAAATACTCTGTCAATCTTGACAACGTTAAAAACATTATCATATATTGTACTTGATATTATCAATGAAATGTACTTAGACTGTTGTTGTCGTTGTTGTGATCAAACTTGCGCTTCATGTGAAGTTCTCTCTTTTTACTGTTTACGTTACCAAAACTTTATTGGATAAATAGAATAAATTGCACCTAAGTGTACAGGACTTTTTGTTATTACATCAAACTTTTATATTTTATAAAAACACCTATTTTTATTTATTTATAGTTTTGGACTAAAGTTCATTTCTAGTTTGTTAGTACAAAATTTATGCTGTTATATACATATTTTATAGTACAATTTTTATCTGAACGTGTTTTCCAAAGTCATTTTCAATTACAAATAGTAATAGTAATTTTTCGTATAGAAATCAATGATATTTCCCTTTTGTTTTCTTTCTCTTTATTCAAATTCATATTAATTATATTCGTTGTCATGAATTCTCAAGGAACATTTTGACTTTTTTATTTTTCTTTGTCAATCTTTTTTTTTTTTGGAAAATGAATGATAATACAAGTTAGGAAAAAAAAAACATAGATACACAATTTAAGATATCATAATCTCTGAAACTTCCTATCAGTTAAAAAATATTACAAAAATTTCCCTTTCACATACATCCCTATCCCTTCTCGAATTCATCCATGCCCTCTCGGATATATCCATATCCTCTCGAATACATTCATATCCGCTCTCGAATACATCCCTCATGTTAAGTAATGTATCATGTGCATTGTATCGCATAACAAATAATGTATTTGAGAGCATTGAAAAATCCAGAGATTTTTGTAATTGGGGAAACTTTTGAGATAAGATGTAATTAGCTCCAAATATATGAGATTTGTGTATTTTATACTACTCCATCCATTCCTATTTATATGTCACCAATCTAGATTTTACGTCCCTTAAAAAGAAGGAGAATCTTTGCATATAACCACTCAAAAATAGTTTAATTATGCTTCATAACTATAGTTTGCTAATTATGATTCACACCTACATGTTATAGGGAGGAGAGAGGTGAGCAAAAAGGCAGAGAGTGGAGAGAGGTGAATTGTATTTGTATATATGTAACTACTATGTATATTTATCAATGATTGTATTTGTATATCTGCATACATTTTGAATTCGTATACAATTGAATTGAGTTAAACCATTTGTATTTGTATATCCAATCTCTCTCTCTCTCGCTTTATACAAACACAAATTATACATTTGTATTTGCATAATTTGTGTTTGTATAAAGCGAGAGAGAGAAAGGCAAAAGAGAATTGGGTAGAGAAACTTTTGTATTTGTATAATTATAAGTGTATAGGGTGGAGAGATATGCATTTGTATATCCAGTCTCTCTCGCTTTATACAAATACAAACCAAATTATACATTTGTGTTTGTATAAAGTGAAAAAGAGATTGAGAGAAGAAAATCGAGAGAGAGATTGACAGGGAGAGGCGAGAGAGAGGAAGAGATGAGAGATGCGAGAGAGAGGAGTGTAATTATAGCTAGAAGTAAGTTTTGAATTATAATTAATGCAAACTAGATCTATGTTAACTAATTAACTAGTATATATTTGCTTAATCGTGTAATTTTCCCTAAAATAAAACGAGGTAAGTACCATTGTATCTATATTTAGTAATCAAATTTTTAATAAGTGAACACATAAATTAATTTATTTTGATTAATTAAATTGGATAAATCATTTAATTTAAAGGCAATTTTTTTTTTCGAACTGTCCAATTACAAGGCGAAGTCCACTGAACTGTGTCTCTTCATTTTTCCCATTTTCATAGCTGCAAAAGCGGAAAGTCTACTGGTTGGAAGGCCAAAATGAGGATGGAAAGCAGTGAAGAAGAAGATGATTTCCCATGTATTGAAAGTGTTACTCCTCAGTCCAAGATAGACTCAATTTACCAGTCCAAGACTGAAAAGGTACTATCTTTTGCATTTTCTCTACGTTCTTTTCACCCACATTTTGTTTCATTAACTCAGAAAATAGCGTGATAGCAAATTCAACTGCTCTTATTTGTTGTTGGGGTTTGATCAATTTTTGGAATCAAGTTTGGAACTTTTCATCTGGATGTTCTTTATTTTTGGAGTTGTAGTTCAATTTCGTTTGCTGGGTTTTAGCTTCAAGTGCTGGAAGTAAAATTTTTGGTACTAGATGAAATGTGGAAGTGTGTTTGTTCATTACTTGAAGTTTGATCTGTTTTCTGAGCTAAATTTGTGAGTTTTTCTAGGTGGGATTTTTTTTTTTTGGGAATTTTTATTTAGTTTGGTTTCTTGAGGTATCCCTTTTTACAGTAAAAGAAACAAACCTAGTTTTACATGCGGAAGAGACACTAAGCTTTAGTTCTTCCATGTTGTGAATAGTTAAGTGGATGTTCCTTATTTTGGGAGTTCAAATGCAACTGGTTTCCTAAGTTATTATTTCAAGTGCTGGGAGTAAAATGTTAGTGCTTTGGTGAAAGTATTTGGCATAGGTCTTCCTGAAGTGTGTCTGCCTTAAACTTGGTTATATGCTAGGAAACACATATCATGCAGGAACAAGAGCTAGTTTCTTTTGTTCATGAATTTTTGTTGGTGACGATGCGTGTGATTTTTGAGGGAGAACTGGGCTTAAAACTTGCTACAATTGTTGTTTTTTCTGTTCTGCATGACTTGTTCTTGGATCTGATTATTGGAAGTAGGGAAGCTATCTGTTTCATCTATATGTGGATGGATAATAGTATTTATGAGCTACATAGAGTAGTTGAATTAATCATGTGTGATGGGGCTGTTAAGCATTTTTGGATGTTAGTTAATTATGTATAGCTTCTCTATGCATCGAAGATGCTCTTCCATATAACAGGGGATTTTTTTGCTTTAGACTAGTAAAATTTCCACATCTATGTACTAGTTTACTGATGTATTAATGTGCCAGTAGTGCCTTCTTTCATTTTATTAATGTTGATTCAGTAAATTTCTTCAAATCATCTTCCTAGTGGATAATACTTAGTGTAATCTCACTGATATAGTTTGACATGAATCTTGACAATTTGAGTACATTTATGAGGACGTTATCTAGAAATGAGTATATTTACGAGGACTTTGAATTCAGAATACTGTCTGTTCTTGGTCTTGACCAGAATAATTCCAAACTGTAGTTGAGAGTTAAAATCAGCAAATGTAGTGGATCATACCAGAATGTTGCAACCAGCCTTAGGGTAAAGGATAAAATAGGGAGAATGGTTGGCGATGTGGTGAGTAGACGTGAGGAATTATGATCAAATAAGAGGAGTTGGAAAAGAAGGCAAGGGAGTTTTAAAAACCTGCTTTGTTAACAAGTGCAAGGTAAAATTAGTTTTTTCCCAAATAAAAGATTTTAGGAAGAAAGCTAATGGATGCCCCTTTTTGTTCATAAGGGGATGACCTAGAGGTTGTGTCATGGGAGTAACAACCTAGAAATCTCATGTCCAAATCCCACTACAATACTTGGTGTGAGCCTATATACTCCAGCCTTGGTGGGCAGAATTTCCTTGACAACATGTCCTGATGCTAACACTAACCATATCCATAAAGAATATATTATTGGACATACAAAATAATTGCTTATTTTATTGTAGGTAGACTAAGGTTCCTGTATTTGAGCTTCTCTTGTATTTATCTTCAACCAATTCAATAAGAGTTCTTCCCTATTTATCTTTGATAACATCCCTTAACTTTTTGTGGAGATATGTTGGCTGCAATAATCGAACTTGATTTCTGTTATGTCGATATTAGGAATTCTGTATACCATGAATAGATAGGAAACAATTGGAAGTACGAACATCTGTAAGTGCTTGTTATGTGCCAAACTATTACCTTTTTTTATTTCCCAAAAATGCATACCCAATTTCTTTTAAGTGCTTGTTCCGTTTCTTTTTGGTTAATTTTTCAATATATCACAGATAAAAGTAGTCTTCATCTTTCCCACTATTTTTGGAGTGCTTGCTGATTTTGCCAGTTTTTGTCTTTCTTATGAGTTCCCCAGTTTATTGTTCTGAGTTGTGCAGGGAATTAGGAAAATCTGTTTTGAGCTTTTGGATTTGAAGGATGCGGTGGAGAACCTGTGTGGTAATACTCGAACAAAGTGCCTGGCCTTCTTGAGGTATTGGCTGATGAAACTCTTTTACTAGACCAAAAGAAAGTGGAAGAGAATTTTGTTCAATGCTACATTTTCATAAACATTTTTCCTGCTTTTTCTATGGAAACTGTTGTTACCAGTCTGTTAAAAACTTAAATTTCTAAGGGCACAATGGCAAAACTTAAATGAGAAAATGTGTATCATTGACAAATACAGGTTCTACTACCTCAAAGAGATGTGATATAATTTGTACAGAAGGTGGCATCCCTTCACAGCTAGGAGACCATGAGAACTATCTGGTAGTCTATGTATTTGGACTCATACTAAAGTCTGATGTTGAGTTCATGTCGATAGCAAATGGACACATGTCCTATTTCTAGAAGAACCAAAATTCAACCCAACTGTGTCCACTTTTTATGAGTTGCCTCTTGATGTTCTAGTCTCTGATACTGAGAATCCTTCCTCAGAACTGTAGACGGAACCCAACGTGTCTTTCCATCTATATGGTTGTGGTGGGAGGGGGGGTGCGGCTTCGGTTGTGGGGAAATGGTAAGAAGTAGAAAGGTTTGGAGAGACACATCCTTTAAACAGTTGGTTTATAAGCACAGCATTATAAGATATCTAATATTTATCTGGAAAAGTGCAATTTATCCCCTGTTTTATGCTTCCTTTTTTGGGTACCCTTCTATATTATCTGATTGCTTTTTGTTTGTTATATTTTTTAAAAAAACATTCAAAGAAGGATAATAAGAGTTAATTTAACAGAATAGCAGTCAGATTTATTAAAATATAATGGTTCCATTATCTATTTGATCAGAAGTCCTAACATCAATACTGAACGCTTTACGTGCATAATCAGGTAGAGGAACTGAAAGCAGAGATAGCATGTGATAAAGGGACGACTTGCTCTTGCATCTTTTTGTGAAATAGGAGAATAATCATCATCACATTGCTCT